TTTTTCTGTCACATTTAATTTTGTGCAGGAAAACTAATGTTTGGAAATCTAAAAATGTTTTTGTTCTGATTCAATAAAAGTCATCAAATAAAAAAATCTATAACAAAGTTTGTACTAAAATAAAATAGGGTGCCTAAGACTTTTGCACAGTACTGTATTTTCTATATAGTATTTTTGATGTGTTACTAATGCTTAATTAAGTCATCAGAAGTGATTTGTAATGCTATACTTGGTACTTAAATCTATTCATTTGAGAATGTTCAGCTCATGCATACTCTTCTCAGTCCTCATCTACTGTATAGGATCTCAGTGTAAAACGAAACAATTGGGCTTACTAATGCCATTGATTCAAACCTTAATTTTCGGTGTTTTTAGAAACAGAATTGAAATAACAGATTTTTGTTTTCTTTCATAATATAATTGTGGTCAGTAACACTGCAATGAGTCAACTAAATTCTGAAACACTCAGAAGATGCAATACACAGAAATCTGTTGTTTGAGACTCCCTCAGGCTTTTTCATTATCCCTGTGGAATTTCTTAGGCTGAGTAATCCTCAGTGTCATCCTGTTGCATCATATTTCAGTAATAAGACAAATCTGTCGACTGAAATTACACACATTAGCCATATTTATTTTCTTTTGTAATTCAGAGCCAATCAGCCAGGATGTAATATTTATTCAAATAAAACGTCCACATGAATGAAAGCACCATATCAAATTGAAAGAACCCTTTCTGGATTTCATTTATCAGACATAAAACATCATGGTAATTGTTTAGACAGTGAACTGTAGCCTAAAATGTAATTACACAGTAGAATAGTGTATCCATGTCTCTGCTTATTCCCTCATAATAAACTATCCATGCAGTTGTAGTGCCATATGAAATATGATGTACCTAAAAAAAATAGTTGATGAAGACAGGCAATGAGCAGGCAGGCCAAGGTCTCTCCAATGTTCAACACACACACACACACAAATTCTAGCCTGGCTCGGCTTCATGTTGTGCAGAGGAGACCACACAAAGCAGGGGAAATATACTGCAAATTTCAAATGTCTGTCTTCCTTTCCACCTTGGTCTTGACCCTTTGCACCCAATTTCAGATGGATTTAATTAGAAACACTCCTTTCTCATTACTAACAGCTTTTGAAGTAAAACGAGTTGGTTACATCATCCTCAATGTAATATTCAATAATCTTGTACTGATGTTTCACTAAACCATATTTTATGTTTTTATGTGCTTGATTTGGTTGGATAATAGTTTTTGTCATACCATACCCTAACTCAGTCACGCTAAATGGTCTTCTTTTTTAAACTCTTGAGTGTGTTTTTTTGCCACCTGCTCTGTTGGCTATTGATTTGTGTTGAGGTTTTTTTTTCTTTTCTTTTCTTTGTTTTTTTGTAGCCAAAATGAAAAGGCACAATAATTGTATGGTGGAGTCACATTATTCTGGAGGGCTGATTTATGCATACAGACATACAGACATACAGACACATGACAAATTAATGGAGAAAAAACACCCCTATATAACGTATCAGTGTTGGGTATAACACATTACAAAGTATCTATATATAATATCAGTTTTTCCTTTTAATTTATCACTGATCTACATATGTACCTCACAAGCCCTGATTTACTAAGATCTCAAGTAAGGAAAACTAATTTGTATGTGCAAAATGATAACCTGCATGTACATTTACTGAATAGGTTGCACGTGATTTATTATATTATATATATTATAATTGTAGTAGAAACTAGATGTAAACTACATGCAAAGTATGGGTATGAAACAATATTTAAATTGACTGTGGCAAGCTCAAAGTCATTTCTGGAAGAGTAAACTGAGACCTGCAAACAGAGACATAATTGGGTGTCAAGTATAACACCGATTAAATAAGAATTTAAAGAGTGTAGACATGAACATGGTATCTGTAATGAAAACCTTTTCACAGGCTTTTAGCTCAGAATTTCAAGAAGCTTGCTCATTGTTTTGAGCTATACAGACACTGTTTCAATAAATTTTAAGAAAACAATGGTATTATTTTCTCTTTAAATGACGAAATTGGGCTAATGCAAATTTAATACCTGCCTTCTTTTTTTATTATTCTGTACTAATTTGTGCAAAAAGAGACTTTCAGGCCGCAATAATTGCGGCTGATTTATTATTATTATTATTATTATTATTATTATTATTATTATTATTATTGCCCCAGATGTGATTTGCATATTCATCACAGCACAGTAGCAATACAGACATTATTTTGCTCATATGAAAAATGCAACCATGCAACCCTTTGTAGACCCATTTAGTAAATCAGCCTGTACATTTTCTGTGTGTATTATCAATTTTGAATGTATTTCTACACATGCAAACCTTTAGTAAATCTAAGCCTCAGTCTGCTTCTTTCCTGCTTCAGGATATCTATATTGAAGGAAATGTTTTATGTTGCTTCATGTGTTGTGTTGCCTTCCTTTCCCACCAAGTCTCATGGATAATGTATTATGTTTAAATATAGTAAATTAGTGGATACTATTATCCAGAGCAACTTACAAAACTTGCAAACAGTTAAAGGCACAGTGATACCAAGTATTTAACAAATCTCCGTGTATTCCTACTGTAAAGAAAGAGACAAATTTTTAATTGTACAAATACTGGAGCAGTCCGAGTGGTAACAACAAATGCCAATCAATAATGAAAAGGATAGTTTCAGTGTCTCTAACCAGACTGGGCAAAATAGTCTTAAATTGAACAGCAGAGCAGCAAACAAACAAAACATTGTGGTTAGATAGCTCAAGTGTCAGAAACTCTGAAGAACAAAAAAAATGCATAAAGCAAGCTTATACTCATACCTAAAGACCTGACAACTAAATAAAAACAACATAATATGTGCAGAAAAGAACACCTAAGATATGTTATCATGTCCCAGTGCATCAGTGCCAGTTATCAGATCAAGACTCATCAAGAGAGACCATTCTTTAACCATCGAACACATCTTGGACATAGATGAACATTTAATTGAAAGTGGAGTAAAGAGGGTCCTCTATGTCCCCACAGTCACCACATATCAACAGCTTACACTCATGTTGTATCACCTGCTCCAGTGGTTTCACACCAACTCACACCTCCACACATCAATGTAAAGTGAACTTGACAAGCCTCATTACATCACAGCTCTCACACATGGTATTTAAAGTCAGCCTGTTCTCTTGGATGAGTTTAATAAATAAATAAATAAATAAATAGGTCTTCATGATTAAATCAAGTCCCGTCATTTTTCCACTTCATAGCAATTACATTAGAAGATATCAATATATCATATATTTCCCTGGACAAGCCATTTCTCTGCAGGTCTGCAAAAGGAGTCCACAGTTTCCACAGCCATGCATCTCTGATCCCTGAACTGCATTGCACTTGTGCCTTCAGCATCCTGCCAATAACAATCCTTTGAACCTCCACCTTTTATTTATTTATTAAGTTCATTAAATTTGCACTGTTTAATTAGGGTTTGATTGGAGCGCATGATGTTTAAAGTGCTAGCTGAGCTTTGAAGACATCAAAAAGAAATGGCTGACACCAGATGTCACATCAGGCATCGTCCTTTTTAATAAACATATTTTCGACTTTCTCCATCCAAGCATTTGTTTCGTCGCAGGCATTCTTAAAGCAGTTTGTTACGGCCGATTTTGTTGTCACATTTTAGTTTAATGAAGATGAAAGCACTGCTGTCTACTTTAAATGGACTGATGCATTTTCTCACAATAGAGCAGGAAAACGAATGGGTTGTCATGTACGTGTCCTTGTATAGGACCCTCGGGTGTTCAGTGTATTTGGATGTTTTGATCTTATTTGTGTCACATCTTTGATTTTGACCCTCTGAAAGATAGAACATAATAGCATGAATTACTCTTCTTTCACCAGCCACATGACATTTTAATTACCATATTATTTATAGAGCAATGAACCAAACCACACTGTAACAAATAACATCTTAGCAAGTGAAAGTATCTTTTCTATGATAAAAGCTCTCTCTCAAAAGGTTTCTTATATCAGCGTTGTCTTTTAGTAATCGTATTAAACACAGTCACTGTGTATAGTGTACTACATATGATGTTTAGAGCAATTATGTAATATCCTAGGTATAAAGTGAAATGAAAATAATTTCAATGTAATGTAACAATCTAGAGCTGGGTGTCATCAGCATAGCAGTGATAGGAGCCATGAGACTCAAGCCCGAGAGAAGTAGTGTAGATAGAAAAGAGGAGTGGACCCAGAACTGACCCCTGTGGAACGCCAATTGTGAGTTGCTAAGTTTCAGAAATACCTCCGCTCCATGATACCTTGAAGGATCTGTCAGAAAGATCGGATTTGACCTACTGGTCAAAAGTTATAGTAACATTCCAAAAATGCCTTTTTACTACAGATTTGGCTGGCATCATATTGAGACCTGTCTAAACTTGTCTAAACCTGTCTAAACTTGCACAAAGTGGAATTTTAATGTTTAAAAATAAATGCCTGGAAATAAATGTTTAAAAAGTATAGGAAATATTTGCCAGTAGAACAAAACTTTCCAGCTTCAAAGTTAACTATATTCAGGATATTTCACTTGGTAATATGTTATTAAAACTGCTCTAAACTGTGGCTAGAGAACAGCTTACCTAACATTCCTGTGGGATTGTGTGTGTGTGTGTGTGAGAGAGAGAGAGAGTCTATGTGTGTTTCCATCCATCCATCTTCAACTGCTTATTCCTGCTTCAGGGTCGCGGGGAACGCGGGGAAGGTCCTATCCCAGGAAGCATCGGGCACAAACTCGGGGTACAGAAAGATCCATCGCAGGGCACAATCACAAACACACTCATTCATACACTACAGACAATTTACCAAGCTGCCAATCAACCTACCATGCATGTCTTTGGACTGGGGGAGGAAACCGGAGTACCCGGAGGAAACCCCCGCAACACGGGGGAGAACACGGGGAGAACATGCAAACTCCGCACACACATGGCCCCGGCGGGAATCGAACCCCGGACCCTGGAATCACCTTGTTCCCTGGAGGTGTGAGGCGAACGTGCTAACCACTAAGCCACCGTGCGCCCTTCTATGTGTGTTTGTAACTGCTAAAAACAAATTCTTCATCAGCACTCACTCTGCCAACACACTCATGCTAACACACATAACCATTCCACACTGCAACTCAGAATGCAGCCAATAAAAATGCAGTTTCTATAGGTTACAAATCAAACCTCAGTGTTTTTGTAGTTTTAGTTCCTTCCGTCCTCAGTCAGTGGACACCAGTGATCATGGTGGGTTGGGTGGGGGGTTGGAGGCACAGTGGTTTAGTGGTTACACCGTTGCCTCGCACCTCCAGTGTTGGGGGTTTGATTCCTGCCTCTGCCCTGTGCACACAGAGCTTGACATGTTCTCCCCATGTTTCGGGGTTTCCACTCAGTACTCTGGATTCCTCCCCAAGGCCAAAGACATGCATTGTAGGCTGATTGGCATCTCTACATTGTCCATAGTGTGTCAATGGTTGTGTAAGTCTGTGTGTGATTGCGCCCTCCAATGATTTGGCAGCTCGTTCAGGGTGTCAACCACCTTGTTCCCTGAGGTCCCTGGGATAAGCTTCAGGTCCCCCGAGACCCTTTGTAGGATGAGTAGTACAGAAAATGGATGGATGGATATAACCCTGGTTGAGGACAATACTGCAATATGTTTGTGTGTGTGTGTGTGTGTGTGTGTTTAAATATGCTGTTGATCCTAACTCAAGACCTCAATTTAGTTAAAAAATAAAATAAAAACAAAGAACAAGTATCTAAGCGTATGACAATTTTGTGTACAAGCGTTTTCATTTTCAGATCTCATCATTTCAGGTGTGTAGAGAGTGAGTATGCCTGAGCTTGTAAACAGTGTCGGGGAGAAGCAGCAGAGTTGACATATTGTTTATTATTTGATAAGACAAGGTCCTTTTGTTTTTAGCTTCCACTGGGATGAGAGAGAGAGAGAGAGAGAATTGGAAGAGAGCGATGGAGAGATGGCCATGAGGAGACCATGAGGTGCCTTAGCTTTATTTGAGGTTTGATTATCTTATTCAAAGCATACATTAAATAACAGTATTAAATGGCAACTTATGTGTGTCTGTGTGTGTGTGTGAGAGAGAGAGAGAGAGAGAGAGAGACAAATCAAGGTCTTCTGAGACTATGAAAATGAATGATCATGATCTCGGTCTCTGTTTCTGTCAAATGCCTGCAGTAGATATACGGATACAATCCAGCAGATATCAAAATGCACACACACACACACATGTTGTCAGTTTATGTCAGGTATAAGAGGGATTTTCCTCACCTACCTATGAGAGCTTTAGCCCACAAGTAGATTAGATATGTCTCTTGTGGAGTGAGAAACACTGACAGGATGACAGAGTGCATAAATGATTATAGTCTCAGAAGAGTCGTGCACTATCAGTGTGTTCAGAAACTCTCTCAAAGCTCAGACTTGTGTTGCAGAACCATCACCTAGGATGTGCTGAAAGATACGAGTTTTGTACAAAAGGAGAATAAAATATGTAAGAATCATTGCTGTGTATCAGCATTCTCTTTGCGTGTGAGTGAAATAACTGAGGCAGCAGCAGACTAAGACTTTTATCCTGAAATGTTTGTTTTCTCCACTGTGACACACCTGACTTAACCGACCGAGTCATTATCAAGCCCTTCATGTGCTGAGTCACATGTGCTCAAGCAGGGAAGGACACAAAATCTATATTCCTGTTGCTAGTGTGCTATATTCTGATGATTTCATGTGGAATCAAAATGATTGTTATTATTCACACTCAATTCAAGTGGCTTCATTGTCATTTCATATACAGCTGGTACAGTACACATGGTGGAACGAAATAGCGTTCCTGCAGGACCATTATGCTACATAAAACAACACACTAACCACGTGAGAGGACACAATTAAATAAGCCCTCCACATTTTTACATAAAGTGCATGTGCAAACATGTGCAAATAACACAAATAACACAGTAAAGTAACTACTAAAAGAGGACAATAGGTAAGTGAGAGTCTAGCATTGACCAGTACACAGTTCTAGTGTGGACGTGTCAAAGAGGTCACTATCACTACACACTCCTGACTTGCTATTGAAATGTAATCGTTTAGGATGTTATGATTTTACGATCACAGAAATGAACACAAAATCAAGCAAACTCCACAATATTTGGAGGAGCTTGCAATTTTTCAATATTACTGCAGATTTTCTACACATTTGGGCCAAGACATGTAATGTGAGGTCATCACAACGCGCATTCAGCGAAAGATCACTTCTATTCACGTGCGTCGAACACGAATACAGCTAAAAGGTCTCATTTACCAACAAACATCACTGTGAAAGACCATACAAAACAATTTCATGCAAGTGCAATTTCAGAAATTCAACTCGTTTTCTGGAGGGAAAAAAAAGCAGAAAAAACTTTTGCAAAAAGTCACAGCAAAATCAAACATTTTTGGCCACAACAATCACAAAAAACTTTGCGAAATCCTCTATGGACTGATTTTTCATCATGACAGAAGAAAAGACTTTCAGTGGTAGATAATTGGGTAATTCTCAATTTGTATTAGCTTTGTTTACTGGCTTATATGGTAAATGGTAAATAGTCTCAGTTTATATAGCGCCTTACACTGTCTCATTCACTCATTCACACACCAGTGACAGTAGGGATACCATGCAAGGTGCTAGCCTGCCCTCGGGAGAAACACGGGATTCAGTATCCTGCCCTAGGACACTTCGGCATGTGGAAACATGTGAGCCCGGAATCGAACCACCAACCCTGCAATTAGTGAACAACCCACCCTACTACCTGAGCACAGGCTTATATCTCCAACTCTGTGTTGCACTGTGTGCATTTGTACAGTAGGAAAAAATGTGGGAAGATCCCAAAATAGATCAGGCTAACAGACTTCCACTTGAACGTAATTACGCCTTCACACACATGAAACAGGAGCTTGTGACAAGCATGTGAAGGCATGGTTATTTAATTGAGCCACTTCATGAACAGCTCAGAGCCAAGATTTTCCTTCATATGCCTGATCAATTTTAGTAAAAAAAAAATTAAAAATAATAATAAATAAAAAATAGATAAATAAATAAGAAAAAAAAATCTTAAATTAAGTCTTACAAGTATGAAAGTTTGTGTCCATGTCTGTTCCTTACTTCATTAATTTAAATATTTGTGTGTGTGATGGGGTCTGTTCTGTAGCTCCACTGCAAACGCCCTTAAAGCAGAACTACAGCACTAGCATACATCAAAGGCAGACAGAGAACTGATGCAAAAAGCAGGACAGGGACAGCAGGCGATTAAAGTGCAATCACACCAGGTCACACAGACCTCACTGCTCACTTGATGCAAAATTCAACCCCAGTATAATTTGGCTTGGAAGGCTGGCTACTGATCCAAGTTTTGCAGCTACATAGCAATAACGTTACCCTTTAGAAGTCACACTTTTCTTTTAAGCAAAGCCTTTAAACAGAGTCAGTAAGTCAAAAACCCCAGCCGACTTCATTACCATCCTCTGTTTGTTTTCTCCTGAGGCTGGCTTCTGTATTTGCCTTGACTTTCTTGAGGAGACATTAGTCAACATGCTTGAGGAGACACTGCTGTCTGCTTCATATGGAGAAAAAAACAATAGTTTACTATGCACTTACACTATACACTATGTACTCTACTGTCTAGTCATTAGTTCCTCTCAAATGGAATACTATCATTTTTCAAAAGTCGATGGAACATGACGTCAAATGCACGTGATGCGACAATGCTAGCCTTAGCAGAATACCCAGAGTCGATTAATTTTTTTTTTTAATTTTACTGTTTGTCAGTGTTAAATTTTAGGCCTAACATGACCTCAGTCATCATCTCACAGAGGCGTAACTGTGTCCGCAGATTCATTTTGTTCGCACAATTCAAAATCAACATAGCAATTTGTGGTTGTGGCTATGGCTGTTGATAGTATAAACATTTAATGAGCATACCACCCCTTTTCCACTACGTAAGCAAAGCTGCAACCATGTAGTGCACAAACTGTCGAACATTATACACTTAATTTTTTCGGTTGAATAAGTGCATCATCTGGGTACTTGAAGTGTACTTTTTCTTGTTGGAATTTTCAGCCTGAACACACTACTCACACTATTTATATTACAAAATGGCATAGAATAGTGAATAAGTATGCAACTTGGGACGCACCTAATCACAAAACTGAAAGTGTATGCTAAACATGGCATGATTTGTCCAACTCCGAAAATAGAAGTTACTGTCTCATGCCTGCCAGGGGAAAAAATGTTGTGTATGTGTTACGGAACGTAGTTGGAGGCGGATGCAGGTGCAGATCAAAACTCTATATTTAACGTAAACACAAAACTCAAAGCAAATGTGGTCTTTACCGGGAAACAGGAAACGTGGCATAGAGCAATATCCTTCTTAGCATGGACGACCGCTACAAACATAATCAACTAATACAACTAATAATACCGAGCAGCGTGCTCAGTAACCCAGGAGTTTAAATAACGAACATTACCAATTATCATTAACTTAAACCACATACACCTGTGACCCATCAGAGTTATTACACTAACGCTCAACCCAGGAAGTGAGCGAACCAAAACAAAGACACTGTGGCTTGTCCGAAGACGAGCCACAGTGTCATCTGCTGGACATAACGTGACAGTATGAAAGATACTGAGATAGTAATGCACTCATATTAATATGTTTCTATAATATCTCAACCACAGGGACTTTTATGAAGGACACTGCACATAATCTAAGCCTAATAATAAACAAAATAATAAAAAAAGATGTTGTTATTTAACAAATAAACATGTGTAATCCTTTGATATGCTAATGCTTTCTGCAAGATGTTTATGTAACATTTATGGAAGGAGTCTCCAGAGTCAGTGCTTTGTACAGTGCAAAAACGCTATTATAGCAAGTAAAAATATGTTGAATACAGTCATCTCGAATTTCCTATAATAATTTTACAATAAATCAAATATGATTAGTGGTTAGCACGTTTGCCTCACACCGCCAGGGTCGGGGTTTTAT